AAAAAAAAAAAAAAAAAGAGTTATTTTGTGTCCTCATAAGAAATCTATACTGGATTAGGTTTTACTACATCCTTTTTGTTTTTAGTTTTTGGTACCAGGGATCGAACTCCAGACCTTGTACTTGCGAGGCAGGTGGAGGCAACACTGAGCTAAATCCCTGGCCCTGGTTAAGTTGTTTTAATTGCACAAGTTCCAAGATTTGAGATTCTAGTTGCAAAAGCCAGAAGCAAAATCCTAAACTGATGTCACAGCATGGAAAAAGTTTCGTTGTTTTTGTTTTGGTATTAGGGATTGCACAGGGACCTTGTGGTTGTGAGGTGGCACATGGTGCTGGGGCAGAGGGAGGAGGACTGCTTACCTGATGGTGTCTGGGAAGCAAAGAGAGGAGGAGAGAAGAGTCTCGGAGTCCCCTCCAAAGGCAAACATCCCAGTGCTTTGGGAGTGGTACCTAGGCCCCGCCCCACCCCTTTCAGCTTCCACCGTGGGGGGCAGACATTTCTCTCCTGGGCCTTTGGAGGGGTACTTCCCAAACCATGGCAGTAGATTGGTTCATGTGGAGTGGATTTAGAAAGGAAGGTCCGCTCTCCCCTTCTCTTTTTTCAGTCCTTACCCCAGTAGGGTGTTACGATAGGTCCAGGCCCAGCTCTTTCCCTCTTTATCTTTCGAAATAGAAGGACATCCAGGTGGATGGTTCATCTTGTGCACAGGCACACCTGCATGCCTTCCGGGGTTTAGTCTGTGAAGCTAGGGCCACTTCTCATTGAAAATGGCATTAAAGAATCAATTTTACTTCGCTGATCTACTTTGATTTACTTCTTTGTTGTTGGTTTTTAAGCAGCCTTTACCCAAACTTCCCTCTTATTACTGGAAACAAGTTTTCCAACAAACACATTTAGGCTGCCAAAGAAGCACATGGCAACCAGTGCTGAAAGGTAGAATTAATTCCACTCATTAAAATCATTAAGAATCATTTTGTTATGTAATTTGCACCCATCTTTGAAAGAGAAACTGGGAGAAAAGTGTTTACAGTGTGGCCTCCCAGTGCTTTCAGTGCTACTGATGGAACCCTGGGCCTTATGAGCACCTGGCAAGCGCTCTGCCACTGAGTGCAGCCCCGGCCCTTTGGTGTAGTACTGTAGATATAGGAGAAAGGGAATCTGGAGGAAACAGTATTTACAAGAGCATTCTAGCCAAGGAGATGAGGCGTAACCTTCCTGAAGCGTGTGGCTTATGCAGATTCTCAGAAAAGGATGAGAGGGTCTGCACAGGCATTGAAACTGTGAAGAACGTGGTGACTGACTTGATGGGAAAGAGGATCAGCAGGTGACAGGGAGAAGGCTGATTCACTGCAGTGCAAAGCTGGTTCCAACCAGATTGTGGACTTGGAGTCCTGGAAGCTGCACTGTATAAGCTGAGAAGTTTCTCTTTAATCTGGTAGGTGGTTGGTCTTCAGTTTAAAATTTTTTCATCATTAGCAAAGCAAAAACTCACAGTAAAAATTAAGGCTACATCATACTCCCTTATTTCGTTAGTTTGATTGATGTGTGTGTTTTTTCCTCTTTCAGAAGAATGGTTGAGACCAGTGATGAGAAAAGACAAGCAGGTGTTAGTACACTGGGGCTTCTACCCAGACAGGTAACTTTTAAAAATACTAATTATTATTTTAATCATATACATTTATGGAGTACAGTGAAATATTTCAACACGTATATGCAGGGTATAATGGTCAGATCGGGTGTGTGTGTGTGTGAAACCCAAGGCCCTACATGCTGGACAAGTGCTTTACCACTGAGCAATACCTCCAGGCCCCTAAAATCAGGGTATTCCCATACCCTTAAACATTAAACAGCCTAACGTGTAAGGCTGGACCTGCGCTCATGAGATCGGGCAGTTCATGTTCCCATCTCTGTGCCTTTATTTTGTGTTTGGTGCCTTTGACCTCCTCTCTTCGGGCAGGTAACACTGATTTGTATGCCCTGAGGTCTGAACAAGGCAGATTTACTTAGATAGAATTTTATTCTCTGATTAGTAATACTTTTGCTGATATGTACTAGTCTCACTTTATTGAGTCTTATATTGACTTTTTAAATTTTTTCAGAAATAGTTCTTGACTATTGACTACTTATTTTAATAGTTTAGTAAAGTAACATATACTTACCTTAAAAAAAAAAACCCTGATCTTTTTATGTATTTGCCAAAAGAGCCTTTCAGGTAGTCTGGGAATACAGATATGTTTTTTGTTTTTTTGTTTTGTTTTTTTGTTTTTTAAGAAATGAATTTTTCACCGGGAGTGGGGGCACATACATGTCTGTATTCCCAGCACTCAGGAGGCTAGGCTAAGGCAGGAGGACCACCACAAGTTCAAGACTAGCCTGGTCTGTTTATGTATAGTGAGTTCAAGGCCAGCCAGACAAATAGTGATACCTTGTCTCAAGAAAACAAAAATATAAAACAAGAAATGAATTATTCTTCCTTATGTTTATAGCTAGTTGGGTTTCTTTCCCCCAAAATTGTGCATGCCAAATTATAAGGCTGAAGATATTTTATGTCCAACAAGTTTTTCTTGTCAGAAATCTTACCCTGTGTTGTTGTCACTTTTCCATGTTACATCCCAAACCATGTTTCTGTGCCTGTGGTATGAGTAGAGAATATTATTAGTGTGCACTTAAGGTTAGCTGTGGTGGTCATCCTCATTTGGTATCATGCCCACCTGGGTTCATGATAGTAGAAAAGGCGTACACAGAATTCATTTTCCTCAACTTATAGGAGAGCTGCTTTGGCGTTCATTTTATTCTGGTCACACCAAGTAGAGATCCTTCCCATAGTGGGCTTTTCAAGTCTGTTTTGGGTTTTCACGCCTCTCTCCACATCTGAGTCTCTGTCTCTCAAGGGTCTTGTTCACTTTTTTTAAATTTTAAATTATGCCTGTTCTCTGACATCTATACCTATACTGTGTTTTCTAATCAAGACTTTTGTTTGTTTTTTAGTACTGGGGATTGAACTCGGGTCCTTGTGCTTGCAAGGCAGGCGCCAGAACCACTGAGCTAAATCCCCAGCCCTCTAATCAAGACTTTTGAAGAATATGAGATTACCATTTTTTCTCACTGGTAATCTTTACTTGGTATATGATGGGGGGGTATCAGGAATTGAACTCAGGTCCTCATGCTTGCCAAGTAGGCAGTGCGCCACTGAACACATTCAGTATCATGCTTACCTAGTGTCATGCTACATTCCCAGCCCACGATTTTGTTTGTTTCTTTGGTACTGGGGAGGGAACTCCTGACCTTAAGCTTGGAAGACAGGCGGCAGAACCCATGATTTTTTTTTTTTTTTTTTTTAAGATAGGCGCACCTTGAACTCATTGTGTAGCCCAGGCTGGCCTCGAACTCCGGGTAATCCTCCTGCCTTAGCCTCCTCAGGGCTGGGATTACAGGTGTGTGCCACCATGCCCAGTTACTTGGTATACTCCATTAGCAAAGCAACTTTTTTCTGATCTCATGTTTATAAGTGTTTCTAGAAAAATTAACAAGAGTAAAAGGCTGATTTAAAATGCTTTTAAAATGACTTGTAAATAATTGATTTAGGTGTCACTTGATTTTTAGATATCTCTTGATTTTAATAATAATATTATTGGCAATTACAATAATATTAACTGAAGTTTTATTTGGTTGCTAACTTTTTATTTACTTTGAATATGATGCTGGAGGGTCTGGGATTTAGCTCAGTGGAAGCGCAAGGTCCTGAGTTGGATCACTGGTTTCAAAAAAAAAGGTGCTGGAAAAGGTGTAGTGACTTCTCTCGTGCGTTCAAGTCCATTGGTCAGGAGATCTTCGAGCAGGGTTATGGGGGAGTGAGCGGTATGAATATAGTGATGTGAGGAGCCTCTAGGAAACAGGAAGTCATGTGTTTTAAAGTCCGTGAGTGCCCAATGGCACATGTTCCGATGCCATTAGGGCCTGTGTGGTACAGATATGAGTGAGGATGGAGGGAAGTTGACAAGGAAATGGCAATACAGGGGCGGCGGCAGCACCTGATCTTGAGGCCTTGGCAAGCCACTGTTAGGATTTTGACTCTTCGTTTTGATTGAGTCAGAAGCCTTGGAGAACTCTGAGCAGATTTGTAGATTTGCAACGTTGTAGACTGACTGCATTTTCAAAACATCTTTCTGGTCGGTTGTAAGGCAAACTGACTCTTGGGAAAGTAGTGCGAAAGTAGGGAGATCAATGAGCAGAAGGGTGAAAGGGGGTTGTTATGGTTTGTGTCTGGATGTCCTCCAAAGCCTTGTGTGGTCATAGGGCTTTTTCAGAGTTGGCTGAATCTGTAGTGTGTGGTGCTGGGATTTAGGGTGTGTGGTTACCAAATCAGTGCACTGGTTGGTTTGGTTACTCTAATCCTGGTAGTCTGAGTAAGTTAAAAGGGGCAGAAAGACACTGTTAAGGTTCCCTAGTTGCTTTTGCTACTGTTTCTTCTCCGTACCATCCCTCTGCCACATGCCACTCTGCCTTGGAGCCAGCTGATTATGGACTGAAACCTCTGCAGTCTGTGAGCTAATAAACTCTTTCCCCTTTAACTGTGGGTATTTTCTGTCAGCAGTGAGTGAAAAGTAAAGTGAAGTAGAATGTGAATGATCAAAGTGTGTTGCTTACATGTGTGGATGAAAATGTCCCAGTGAAACCTGTATAGGTAGTTTTTTGTTTTGTTTTGTTTTGGGGATACAGTGCATGACACCCACAGTTTAAAGAAGGAAAGTTTGATACTGCTCAGTTCCAGGGAATTCAGTCCATGGTTGGCTTTGAGGGAAGAACAACGTGGCCAGAGGGTGTGGAGGAGCAAAGCTGCTCAGCTTATGGTGGCTGGGAGCAGAGCACAGGGGCACAGGGGAGGAGTAGCAATGAGAGAGACAGCCACTGAAGGCACAGGCCAGCTGACCTACTCCATCTGGGCCCTCCTCCCCCAGCACACTGAGCTGTGACGTCTGTGGACTCACCCACTGATCATCATCTCACCCCCGTGTCCCAGGGACCGTTCCGGGAGCCTCTTAATCATCGCATTTATGATTAAGTTTAATATCACAAAGCCCACTTATAACAAGTGGAAAAAATTAATGATTACAGAAAGGAGGCAGAGTTCTGGACATGTTTTGAAGATAGAACTTTTAATGAATGCTGTTGTTTGATTATAAGATATGCTTGGGACTAAAGTCAGTGATGTTCCCCAGGGTGTCAGCTTGCACCGCTGCAGAGGTGGACTTGGCATTTACAGAGGTGGTGATGGTTGCCTGGAGCACAGGGTGGAGCTAGGGTGGTGTGATCATTGAGCTTTGAGTATGTTAGGTTGGCGCACCTGTCATGCTGATTCATCAAAGAAATGTGGGGCTGGTTGTTGGGCTTATGCCTTGGGAATTCAGAGAAGAGAGCCATTTGTCACTTTAGGTCATCGACCTGTAAATGTTGAAAAGCGTTCACGCAAAGACCAAACAGCATCAGTGGAGACTGAACAAGAGGCTGGTGACAACACAGAGAAGGCACTGAGTGATGGTACTGTGATTTGAAGAAAAGGCAACTTGAATTTGGTGGACTGAGGCTTCTGCGATTCCTTTGCAGAAAGCAACATCAAAGCAATATAAAGGTGCCTTCTGCAAAGGAATTCTCTCAGCAAAGTGAAGCTTGATACCGTAGTATTACTGTATGCAAATAGTATTTGGCACCATGCCCAGCAGTATCTGTCTGTCTTTTATTGTTTTTATTTTTTGAGACAAGGTCTGGCTATAAAGTTGAGACTGGTTTTAAACTCACTTTATAGCTCAGGCTGACTTTGAACTCATGAGGATCCTCCTGCCTCAGCCTCCCAAATGCTGAGATTACAGGTGTGTGCCACCATTCCTGGCCCAGCAATACTTCTAAGATGTGTTCTTATTGCTTGTTGCTAAGTCTTTGGTGTGAATGCATTTTGATTCCCGTTTGTCTTTATTCCATTTACTTTATAGCTATGATACTTGGGTCCATAGTAATGATGTTGATGCTGAAATTGAAGATCCACCAATCCCAGAAAAGCCGTGGAAGGTAAATACATTCTGTCTCTCTCTGTCTCTGTCTCTGTGTATGTCTTTCTCTGTCCCCCCGTGCCCCATAGGCTTAGTCCCACTTTTGGAATGATTGACAGAAGAGCACAGGTGTACATAACCATTTTATTTTATTTTATTTCGGTTTTGTCTTTTGAGCCAATGTCTCACTATGTAGTCCAGGTTGGCCATGAACTTGTGTTCTGCCTCAGCCTCACAAGTGCTGGATCACAGGTATGCTCCACCACTCTGCTTTCCTTGAAGATATAAATAATTTTTGACCTATATACTCAACCCAGATTATTAGTGTTTTGTTTGTTGGTTGGTTGGTTTGTTTTTCGATTTTTTTTTTTGAGACAGGGTCTCACTATATAGTTGAGACTGACCTGGAACTCACTATGTAGCCCAGGCTGTTCTCGAACTCCCAGCCATCCCCCTGCCTCAGCCTCCCAAGGGCTGGGATTACAAGTGTCTGCCACCATGCCCAGCATGGCACATACTATTTTTTTGTTGTTGTGTTTTTTGGGGTTTGTTTGTTTGTTTGTTTTTTGAGACAGGGTCTCACTATGTAGTTGAGACTGACCTGGAACTCACTATGTAGTCCAGGCTGGTTTTGAACTCATAGTGATCCTCCTGTCTCAGCCTCCTGAGTGCTGGGATTATAGGTGTGAGCCACCACGCCTGGCCTGGCACATACTATTTTAAAGTACTTTTGCAAAAGATTTTTGGGTAGTTACAGAATATGTACTCTGTATATTCAGTTCTTTTTTTTTTTTTTTTTTTTTTTTTTGGTACCAGGGATCGAACTTGGGTCCTTGCGCTTGCAAGGCAGGTGGTGGAACCACTGAGCTAAATCCCTGGCCCAGTTCTTTTTTACTTTTGAACAATTTTATATACTTTGGAAAACATTATTAGACATATGTATGTATGTTTGTTTGTTTTGGTTTTTTGAGACAGGGTCTCACTATATAGTTGAGACTGACCTGGAACTCACTATGTAGCCCAGGCTGGTCTCGAACTCACAGAGATCCTCCTGCCTCAGCCTCCCAAGTCCTGGGATTACAGGTGTGTACCACCATGCCTGGCTCATATGTTTATTTTTTAACATTACTCCTTTAATATTCATATTTAATTAGCTTTGGGCTTCTAATGCACTTTTTCCTTACTTTTTATGTTTAGGAGATTTGATAGTTTTAGCAGGTCTTACTTTCTCTCTGGCAGGGTGTTCTATGTTTATGTGCATTACTATGTAACAGTTTTTTTGTTTTTGTTTTTGTTTTGTACCAGCGATCAAACTCAGGACCTTGCTGAGCAAAATCCCTAGCCCCTGTGTAAAGTTTTTATGGTCTCGACCACAGAGATCCTCCTGCCTCAGCCTCCCAAGTCCTGGGATTACAGGTGTGTACCACCATGCCTGGCTCATATGTTTATTTTTTAACATTACTCCTTTAATATTCATATTTAATTAGCTTTGGGCTTCTAATGCACTTTTTCCTTACTTTTTATGTTTAGGAGATTTGATAGTTTTAGCAGGTCTTACTTTCTCTCTGGCAGGGTGTTCTATGTTTATGTGCATTACTATGTAACAGTTTTTTTGTTTTTGTTTTTGTTTTGTACCAGCGATCAAACTCAGGACCTTGCTGAGCAAAATCCCTAGCCCCTGTGTAAAGTTTTTGGGTTTTTTTGTTTTTGTTTTTGTGTGTTTGTTTTCATTTTGTTTTATTTTGTTTTGTTTTGTTTTTTGAGATAGGGTCTCATTATGTAGTTGAGACTGACCTGGAACTCACTAGGCAGCCCAGGCTGGTCTTGAACTCACAGCAGTCTTCTGCCTCAGCCTCCAGAGTGCTGGGATTACAGGCGTGTGCCACCACACCTGGCAACCCTGTGTAACTTAGTTTTGAGGGAGAGGAGGAACGTAGGCAGACAGTTTGAGGTAAGCAAAAGGCATTGTCCTGAATAACCAATTTAACAACCCGTTCCTCATTTTTAAAAACATGGAAGAGTAGGGGTCTTAGATTGACAAAATATTTTTATGAGGAAATCCATATTGTCTTCTAGTGAATTTTCATATCTTGTTCTTGGTGTTCTAGGAAAGCTTTATAGTTATGATTACTCCCATAAGAATAATGTATTGGTTCTTGGCCAGGCATGTTAATGTTCATTGTGACCAAGCATTCCATGCCCCTCCTCTTTACTTGAGAGGTAAAGAACAATTTTATACAGGGAGGGAAGAGTTATCTAGGGCCAAATTATACCTGAGTCCCTTTTGAGTACTGTTGGAAAAAATGGAATATTAGGCTAGTATTGTGGCGTAAGTATCTGTATCTGTGTGTATCATGCACAACCACCAGTGGACCCTGAAAAAAAAATTTTTTAATGTTTTTGAGACAGGGTCTTGCTGTGCAGTTCAAGCTGGCCTCATGACAATCCTCCTGCCTCAGGCTGCCAAGTGCTGAGATTACAGCACCCCACCCAGCAAGACCTTTAATTTTTTGTTGTCATTTTGAGCAAGTCTTGCTATATAGCCCAGGCTGGCCTTGAGCTTGTGGCAGTTCTCTTAGGTCAACCTCCCAAGTGTGCCACCGTGCCAGGCTCTCTTTTTCAGCATTTTTGTTTTTTCTTCTTTTTTTGCTGTGCAGGGGGAGATTGAGTTCAGGGCCTCACACTAAACTACGTTCTCAATTCTGTATTTTTTATTTTGGCATGGGTGTTCACTAATTTGCCTAGACTGGCCTTGAATTTATGGTCCTTGTGCCTCAGCCTCAAGTAGCTGGGATTACTGGAGTGCGCCCTCATTGTCTGTGACTCTACATTTTATTAATTCTCTCTCAGAAGCATCATCTAAAATGAGATACAGTGATAGAGGAATGGAAGAAGCCAGCACCTGAGTGTCCCTCCAGCAGAGCCCCACGTGTACTTACTGGGACAGAGTGACAGATCTCTGTCAGTGTGCTAGAGTGAGAGTTGTTAGAGTGCTATTAGTTTCCCGACTCTGGAGACAGCCTTTGTACTTAGAGCAGTGATGGTCTTGGCTGTGCCATTGACTGCTGCCTTGCTTTGCTTTGCTTTGCCCTCCCTCCCACCCTCCCTCTGTTCCTCCCTCCCTCCCTTTCTTCAAGTTTCATTTTTTCTTTCTTTCTTTCTTTTTTTTTGGGTGGGGGGATACTGGAGACTGGCAATGGAACCACTGAGCTAAAGCCCCAGCTCCTTTTTTGGTACTGGAGATTGAACTTGGGACCTTGTGCTTGTGAGGCAGGCAGTGGCACCACCAAGTGAAATCCCCAGCCCTCTTTCGAGTTTCTTAATTAGTAAAAGAAATGAAATAAAAATTAGAATAGATAGTTGGTCGTGGTGGTACACGCCTGTAACTCCAGCACTCAGAAGGCTGAGGCGGAAGGATCACCTGGAGTTTGAGGGCCAGTGTGGGCTACGTAGTGAGTTCACAGGCAGACTGGATGACATAGCAAGGCCGTCTCCAAAAAATAATAAATAAATAAAATTTAGAAAAGGCTAAGTTGCACCTCACATATATATTAATAATAGTGTATTCTTATCCTGTTTTTTGAGACTTTGAAATTAACCATTTTTTTTCTTCTGAATAGTTTAAAAGCTCAAGTGATTTTGTTATTTATGTATTTACTCTTGTTCTCATGTGGCTTTAGGTTCATGTGAAATGGATTTTGGACACTGACACTTTCAATGAATGGATGAATGAGGAAGATTATGAAGTAGATGAGAATAGGAAGCCAGTGAATTTTCGTCAACGAATTCCAACAAAGAATGAAGAGGTATTTCCTTCGACGCCAGTTCTCTTCACTGGGTGTTTTCTTGCCATGAATGCTACAAAATCGTCACTTGCAAACTCACATAGGCACCAGCTTGCCCCAGCCATTGCATACACGGACAAGTTCCCAAGCAGCCATAAAACCTCTAACAGGCATGGAAACCCCAAAGGGTTGTTAGCGTTTAAAGTAGCTCCACGGTGCTGCGCCTGCCTCACAAGCGCAAAGTCCTGAGTTTGATTCCCAATGCTATAAAAGTAAAGTAGCTCATGAAGTATGGTGGTATCACTGCTGATTTTATTTGCTAGATTTGTGTTTTCATTTTGTGTTCCAAATATCTGCACAACATAATAGAATTCTGATTTTCCTTGGAAAAAATTATTTACTTACTGTCTTTTAATAGAGCTGTTAGTACAAATACAGCCTTTAAAGTCTAGGTTTAACAGTTGAGTCCTTTCTGAATGTTGGGGACTCAGCATTTAGTCCTCTGAAGTCCAGAAGCCGGGTGTGGTGGCAGATACCTGTAGTCCCACAACTTGAGTGGCTGAGGCAGGAGGATCGCCTTGAGTTTCAGGCTACCCTGAGCTACACAATGTAGTTCAAGGCCAGCTTGAACTACATAGTGCGACCCTGTCTCAAAAAAAAAAAAAAGCCCAAGCAGTTAAATATTTGTCTATAATTTTTTTACAAGTTACAACTTTTTAAGTTGTATCATTTGTAAATTTTCCCTGGAGATACTTACATTTATTTTGCTTTTCATTTTAT